CCCAAAAAAAAGTATTTGCACAGTCCCGGCCTCGGGCCGGTGTCCGCGTTGGCAAAACTCCTCCTGACGTAAGAAGAATAAAAGACGGTCGTCCCCTTGAAATCTCTTCACCGGCCAACCCCTTCACTTTTTGAAGCCCCCGTAAGTTGATGTTTCCCCCAAGCAAAAAAAAAAATCAACTGCGTTCCCAAGATACAGAATGGTACGGTGGTTTGGGGGGGGGAGGGGGCCCCCGAAAAATAAAGACGACCCCTTAGCTGCTGCTTGAGATTATTTTTGAAAGCAGATTTCCATTTTTGCTCTTCCGGAGTCCCTTCCCCCGAGACGTTGAATTCTGTGGTCGATGTGAGATTCTCGATGGCAGAACGGAGATCCGGCCTGTTTTGTTTGTTTTTTTTTTTTTAAATAAAGATCCGTTCTGGGCGTTTAGACGGCGGGAGGGGCCTTCTCGGACATGAGGACGGCTTCGATCCGCTCGTCTTCTTCGATTACTACTAGAAAAAAAGTAGGACAGGGTTAGGGGATGTCTCTGTGTCCAGGGAGCTCAGCTGCCATTACATCCTAATAGATGGAACAAGAAACTTCTGCATGAGGGGAGGGGGGGGAGAGTATTTAGAAATGCCGCTACCAGGCTCGTCCAATGACATTTCTCCTTCTATATCACATGTTTTATGATTCTGTGACCTCACTAAGCCATCCGTTGAGCAGCCATTTTGGATTCCTGTTATTTGGCCTCACTGAGCCTACTATCTAGAAACCATCTTGGAAATCCCATGAGGTGACTCCACCGAGTCCTCCATCACGAAGCCATTTTGGATTCCTGTTGGACGACCTCACTGAGCACACCACCCTGGAAGCTATTTTACGATTCTATGACCTCACTAAGCCATCCGTGTAGCAGCCATTTTGGATTCCTGTTGGGTGACCTCAATCTAGAAACCATCTTGGAAATCCCATCAGGTGACTCCACCGAGTCCTCCACCAAGAAGCCATTTTTGGTTTCCTGTTGGATGACCTCCCTGAGCACACCGTCTAGAAACCATCTTAGGAAATCCTGTCCGGTGACTCCTCCAAGAGGCTTATTTGGATTCCATTTGGGTGATCCTCAATGGGCCCACCACCACCCTGGAAGCTATTTCACAATTCTGTGACCTCACTAAGCCATCCGTGTAGCAGCCATTTTGGATTCCTGTTGGGTCAACTCAATCTAGAAACATCTAGAAACCATCTTGGAAATCCCATGAGGTGACTCCACCGAGTCCGCCACCAAGAAGCCATTTTGGATTCCATTTGGATGAAGCTCACTGGGCCCACCACACTGGAAGCTATTTTATGATTCTATGACCTCACTAAGCCATCCGTGTAGCAGCCATTTTGGATTCCTGTTGGGTGACCTCAATCTAGAAACATCTAGAAACCATCTTGAAAACCCCATCAGGTGACTCCACTGAGCCCTCCACCAAGAAGCCATTTTTGGTTTCCTGTTGGATGACCTCCCTGAGCACACCGTCTAGAAACCATCTTAGGAAATCCTGTCCGGTGACTCCTCCAAGAGGCTTATTTGGATTCCATTTGGGTGATCCTCACTGGGGCCACCACCCTGGAAGCTATTTCACAATTCTGTGACCTCACTAAGCCATCCATGTAGCAGCCATTTTGGATTCCTGTTGGGTCAACTCAATCTAGAAACATCTAGAAACCGTCTTGGAAATCCCATGAGGTGACTCCACCATGAAGCCATTTTGGATTCCTGTTGGACGACCTCACTGAGCCTACCATCTAGAAACCATCTTGGAAATTCCATGAGGTGACTCCACCGAGTCCGCCACCAAGAAGCCATTTTGGATTCCATTTGGATGAACCTCACTGGGCCCACCACCACTGGAAGCTATTTTACGATTCTATGACCTCACTAAGCCATCCGTGTAGCAGCCATTTTGGATTCCTGTTGGGTGACCTCAATCTAGAAACATCTAGAAACCACCTTGGAAACCCCATCAGGTGACTCCACTGAGCCCTCCACCAAAAGAGCCATTTTGGATTCCTGTTGGATGACCTCACTGAGGCCACCATCTAGAAACCGTCTTGGAAATCCCATCAGGTGACTCCACTGAGTCCTCCCTCCAAGGTCCAATGAAATTTCTCCTTCCATGTCACATGTGCAACCTTGTCAGGCCAGAAGGGCACTTCCTGTGTCCTCGGTTCCCCCTGACTGGGGATGGCGAGATCACATTTAAAGCTGAACTCCGGGCAGATGTAAAAGACACTTTGTATTCAGTAATAAATCACAAATGTTTCTTTTGGGGGGGGGGAGGGGGTTGCAAGCAGTGCAAGGACCTGAACTTGACTTGTATCAGCGTCTTGCCGAGACCTGTACAGCAGAGCTCAGACTTTGAGAAGCAGCAAAATCAGCCAATCAGAGAGAGCAGAGTGACAGGGAGATGAGTTCATCAGTCTGCTGCTTCTGATTTCACCATCCAATCACAGGCTGGGGGAGGGACTTGACCTGTGAGGGTTACTGAATTGCAGCAGAGACAGATCAGGTCTCCTGCACGGCCGGGCTGTGCTGTGTGGCAGAGCTGTGTAAAATCTCAGGACTGGAAGGACAGGAATACAAGTCCTTGCTCTCCTATATGCGTTTGGTTTGTGTCTGTAGCCTCTCTGCCTGGAGTTCAGTTTTAAAGGGGACCTGTCGAGATTGGAATATGGGAGCTACCGGATTTCCCTTTAAAGGTAGGCTACGGTCTAAACCAGGCATAGGCAACCTCGGCATTCCGGCTGTGGTGAAGGTACAAATCCCATCATCCCTCTGCCTCTGGGAGTCATGCCTGTGGATGTCAGAGTTTTGCAATGCCTCATGGGACTTGTAGTTTCACCACAGCTGGAGTGCCGAGGTTGGTTCGTAAGGAACCATTCTTAATCCGGCATGCTGAGGAGGTGTGGTCACCATTGCCCATGTAACCAGCTGTTTGCATCACTCCCAGCAGATGGGCATCTTAGGTGGCAATGAGTTCTGGTTCTGGTTCTGATGCTACAATGTCTATGTTTCCCAATGTAGACCATTCAACTGATCCAACGGCCATGATGGATATGGAATGGCTGGTCTACGACTCGATGGAAGGCTGACCTCAGGGAGCAGCTGACTTCTAGATGGACAACCTGAGGACGTGACACGGGCAGCTAACAGACAGCCGGACTCTATGGAAGAAGTGAACAGTTGGGCCCTGAAGTGGATGCTGGGAAAATGTTTGGAGGCAGATTGCGAATGAGCCAAATATAAGGTGAAAAAAGACCACCGGATCCTTAGCTGGAATGGAGAGGGTACAGAGAGGCCTGAAGACCTCAACATGGGCCAAACATTGGGAAGACGTTGACAGCTGACCTTAAGCCATCATGGACATTGGGTTCAAAGGGACAGTCGTCTTCTAGAGGGACTGAAAACAGGACGCCTGACCTCAAGATGGACTGACTAGAGGTTGGAATGGTCCCTGCAATGTCTGCTAGATGTCCTCTAGGTGGACACATGGCCTTTAGACCTCCACCTATGGATAATGATGGCCTGTCAATGAAGATATTCTGACTCCATCAACCTGTCTTTAATGGGTGTCATGTGATCGTTTAGACCCAACGCAGGGAAAGACGTCAGTGTGATGAGGTCACAGGAAGTGAGGATGATACTGCCAGTACCTCGTATCCTCAGTATGACTGATATTTGGGGCCCACTTTAGGCACAGGTTTGGGGTTTGAGTTGCTCTCATTGGTTTGGTTTTTTTTTGGGGGGGGGGGGTCAAATAGTCACTTTAACATCAGAATATGCAATTTGCATAGAGTGAGACGCACATTGGTCTGAAGATACTAAATATAACATATGGAAAGGTTTGATGACACAACAATGGGGGTTTAGGGGTGCAGACAGACAGGAGAGGAACACATAAGCTTAGTTGAAGGAGAATATGTAGAAGGGGACACACATGTTCAGTTTGGGGGTACAAACAGAACTAAATGAGGTGAATTTGGTGCTAAAGACAGGCTTATGGGACATGCACTGATTCTGGGGGTGCATATAGTTTTGAAGGGGGCACATGCTCAGTTTGGGGATGCCGATAATATTAAGGGGGACACATGCTCAGTGTGGGGTTGCAGATCGTGTTAAAGGAGACACATACTGAGTTTGGGGGTGGAGATGGTATTAAGGGGGGCATGTGCTCAGTTTGGGGTAGCAGATAGTATTAAGGGAGACACATGCTCAGTTTGGGGATACAGAGAGTGTTAAGGGGGACATATTTTCAGTTTAGGGGTCAGATAGCATTAAGGGGGCATGTGCTCAGTTTAGGGGTTTCAGATACTATTAAGGGGACACGTGTTCAGTTTGGGGGTCAGATAGCATTAAGGGGGACACATGTTCAGTTTGGGGTTTCAGATACTATTAAGGGGGCATGTGCTCAGTTTGGGGGTCAGATAGTATTAAGGGGGACACATGCTCAGTTTAGGGGTTTCAGATACTATTAAGGGGACATGTGTTCAGTTTGGGGGTCAGATAGCATTAAGGGGGACACATGTTCAGTTTGGGGTTTCAGATACTATTAAGGGGGACACATGCTCAGTTTGGGGGTCAGATAGCATTAAGGGGGACACATGTTCAGTTTGGGGTAGCAGATACTATTAAGGGGGCATGTGCTCAGTTTGTGGTTTCAGATACTATTAAGGGGGACACATGCTCCGTTTGGGGTTTCAGATACTATTAAGGGGGGCATGTGCTCAGTTTGGGGTTTCAGATACTATTAAGGGGGGCACATGTTCAGTTTGGGGTAGCAGATAGTATCAAGGGGGACACATGTTCAGTTTAGGAGTCAGATAGTATTAAGGGGGACACATGCTCAGTTTGGGGTTTCAGATACTATTAAGGGGGACACATGTTCAGTTTGGGGGTCAGATACTATTAAGGGGGACACATGTTCAGTTTGGGGGTAGCAGATAGTATTAAGAGGGACATATGCTCAGTTTGAGGGTGCAAAAAGTTTGAAAGGTACACACACACACACTGCAGACAGAATTACAGGGACACACAATAAGTGTGGGGGTACAGATCAAATTATAGGGACACACAAACTTTTGGGGTGCAATCAAGCAGTATTATGTGGGCAGACAGGTTGTTTTCAACCTCCAGGCAAACAGAAATATGGGGACACATAAAATCAAAATTTGGGGGTGCAGGTGGAGTTATACAGAACAACACAGGCTCATTCTGGGAGTGCTTGCACAATTACATGTTTGGGGTGCAGGCAGACAGAATTATTGGGGATAAACAAAGTCTATTTTGGGGTGCAGACCGAAGAAGAGCACACAGGCTATGTGTGGGGGGTGCAGTCAGAATTAAGAGGGGCACACTGACTCATACTGGTGGTGCAGGGAGGAGGTCTCACTCACCTCTCTTGCTGCGCCCGATCTGGCCCAGTTTGGGGGGTCTCTTGCCACCCCCCTGGCCAGAGCTGCCATAGAAGTTGCCGGTGTCCTGAAGACGGCAGGTGAGGGGGATCTGTCCATCCCCCCCTCCATCGGCATAATGCCCCCGCTGCTCGGCCTCACTGAAGGGCAGCACCTCGGACATGCTGACACCGATCACAGCCCACTCCGGAGGACGCTGATCACTCACCGCGGAGGAGACCCCGATCACATCGTCCGGCTGGGGGAGCGGGGGGGCCTGGATTACCTGATGGAGTGATAAAGGGAATCCGGCTAACTAGTAAAGGCAGATAGCAGGTAAGTTAGCTAATGCCGGGGGTTTTGTGGGAGGTAGGTTACCTAAAAGATGAAGGTCAGTTGCCTACTGAAATAGGGGATTGTTAACCATTGGAAGAGTAAGATGTAGAAGGGTAGGACATAGGTTCCCTAGTGGGAGTGGGGCAGTTTACCTAAAGAAAGGGCAGGAGGTAGGTTACCTAGAGGGAGGAGGGTAGGTTGCCTATCTGAAGGAATGGGGGCAGGTTACCTAGTCAAAGGGGGCAGGTTACTTATTAGAAGGGTAAGAAGTAGGTCACCTAGAGGGATGAGGTAGGTTACCTAGAGAGGAGGGTAGGTTGCCTATCAGAAGGAATGGGGGCAAGTTACCTAGTCAAAGGGGGCAGGTTACTTATTAGAAGGGTAAGAAGTAGGTCACCTAGAGGGATGAGGTAGGTTACCTAATAGGAGGAGAGTAGGTTATGTATCCAAAGGGTAGAATGCAGGTTATCTAGTGGGGGGGGGGGTTAAGATATGTATTTGGAAGAATAGGAGGTAGGTTACCTAGCAGTAGAAGGTTAGGCTATTTATTGGAAGAGTATCAGGTAGGCTACTTAGTGGTAGAGGGGTAGGTATGGATTGGAAGAGTTTGAGGTAAGTTACCTGGTAGAAGGGGGGTAGGTTATGTATTGGAATAGTAGGAGGCAGGTTACTAAGAGGGAGGGGGTAGGTTATCTATTGGAAGTGTTGGAGGTAGCTAAGCTAGTGGGAGGGAATAGGTTACTAATTGGAAGGGTAGGAGGTAGGTTTCCTAGTAGGAGGGGGGTAGGTTGCATAGTGGGAAGAAGGAGGTAGGTTAACTAGTGAGAGGGGATAGGTTACTTATTAGGAGGGTAGGAGGTAGGCTACTTAGTGGGAAGGGGGGTAGGTTGCATAGTGAGAAGGTAGGTGGTAGGTGGTAGGAGGTAGCATAGTGGGAGGGTAGGAGGTAGCAAACATGGTAGAAGGGGGTGTTGCATAGGGGGAAAGTAGGAGGAAGGCTGCAATTAAGGGGTATTAGGATCAGCAGGGGGAAGAGATGGGGTAAAAGGATGAGCTATCACATTCAACCTTGGCATAGGGGGTGTGGGCACATAAACAGATCCCCTCCAGGGTGATAAGACAGGATACCTACCGAGGAGGAGACGGAGGGGCCAGGCTGCCGTCGCTGGGATACAGCACTGACATGGCGCCAACAGTCTGCGCAGCGCTTTGCAACATAAAGGGAGACGGCGGAGATACAACGCACATCGACAACAAAACCATCGCCATAAAAAAACGTCGTATGCAAAATAATCGTTCCGAATCCGATAACATTGTATCCGAAATAACGAGAAGACGTCATCCCGGGCAGGAATCTTAGATGTTTACAAGGGAGTCTACGTATCAATGTTTTCACCCAACATTCATTTTAAAATTCACTGATATGTCACAAAAGATTCAGCTAGAAAAACGTGTGAATGTTGGGTGAAAACATTACGTAGACCCCTCCCCCCCCTGTAAACATCGGTTTAAGATTCTTCCTGCCCAGGATGACGTGTTTTCATCATCATTTCGGATGCAATGTTATCGGATTCGGAATCATTATCTGAATACGACGCGGTTTATTGTTACCATGTTGTCGCCGAACACATGAGACCATCGCCATCGGTCAGCGCCGGAATCCGACAGCAGCTGCCACAGTTATATAATAACGAGAAGAGATCACGTCTGTGCGGAAACCTCGGACAAAGAATCCGAATAATACAGCAATCCGCTACATGGAGAGCAACGGCTGTCGGTGCCGTGCCGGGATTTCGTACAAATAGAGACTTTGTATCTAATAATAATAATAAAATAACAACGTGACTATAAAACACAACGGCTGTCAGTGCGCTGCCGGGATTCAGTATAAATAGTTACTTTGTGTCTAATAATAATAATAAAATAATGTAACCATAAAACATAGCGGCTGTCGGTGCGGTGCAGGAATTCGGTACAAATAGAGACTTTGTATCTAATAATAATAAAATGAGGTAAAAATAAAACTTGGCGGCTGTCGGTGCGCTACCGGGATTCCGCACAAATAGTTACTTTGTGTCTAATAATAATAATAATAATAAAATAACAACGTAACTATAAAACACAACGGCTATCGGTGCGCTGCCGGGATTCCATACAAATAGAGACTTTGTGTCTAATAATAATAATAAAATAATGTAACCATAAAACACAGCGGCTGTCGGTGCGGTCCAGGAATTCCACACAAATAATAATAATAGTAATAATAATAATGTAACTATAAAACATAGCGGCCAGGAATTCCGCACAAATAATTACTTTGTATCTAGTAATAATAATAATAAAATAATGTAAACATGGAACACAAGGGCTGTCGGTGCGGTGCTGGGATTCAGTATAAATAGAAAGTTTGTGTCTAATAATAATAATAAAATAATGTAACCATAAAACATAGCGGCTGTCGGTGCGGTCCAGGAATTCCGCACAAATAATTACTTTGTATCTAGTAATAATAATAATAATAATAAAATAATGTAAACATGGAACACAGCGGCTGTCGGTGCGGTCCAGGAATTCCACACAAATAATTACTTTGTATCTAGTAATAATAATAATAAAATAATGTAAACATGGAACACAGCGGCTGTCGGTGCGGTGCCGGGATTCAATGTAAGTAATAACTTTGTAAGTTATAACTTTGTGCCTGATAATATTAATAATAATAAAATAATGCAAACATAAAACGCATGAGCTATCGGGGTCAGTGCAGGAATTCCATACAAATAATGACTTACTTGTCTAATAATAATAAAATGATGTAAACATGGAACACAACGGCTGTCAGTGCGGTGCCGGGATTTCATACAAGTAATAACTTTGTATCTAATAATAATAATAAAATAAAGTTACCATAAAACATGGCGGCTGCCGGTGCGGTGCAGGGATTCA